GTGGGTGGTCACGGGCGTCGGAGGGGTGGTGGGTGGTCACGGGCGTCGGAGGGGTGGTGGGTGGTCACGGGCGTCGGAGGGGTGGTGGGTGGTCAGGCCACACAGGGTCTTCTAGGCCTTTTTTAGGACTCTAGTGTTTATTTGAGTGAGATGGGGAACCATTGCAGGGTTCTGAGCAGGAGTGACCTGATGTGAGTTCCTGGTTAGAAGGCCCCTCTGGCTGCTGTCTTGAGAATCAACTATAGTGGGGCAAGGGCAGGAGCAAGGAGACCAGTGAGAGATGACAGCGGCTCCAACCAGCACGGTAGATGGTGAGGGGTCATCGTATTCTGGAACGATTCTGAAGAGAGCCAGCAGGCGTTGATGAATTGGATGTGGATGTAAGAGAAAGAAGAGAGTCAAGAAAGACTCCAAATTTCAGGCCTGAGGACTGAGAACAAGGCTGCCGGGAACTGACATGGGAGGACTGCTGGCAGATGTCTGTGGGTGAGAATACAGGTGTCTCTTAGACGTCCACGCGGAGAATTCCTGTAGGTAGGTGGATATACGAGACTGATGTGGGCAGTCAACCGTGTATCAGCAGCATAAACAGCTGCGAGATGGAAGAGCCCGCCTCTGAGCTGACTGCCGAAAGGTGTTCTCAGGTGAGGCAGCGTATGGGGAAGGTAAGAAGCTGTCCTTGGAGTCGGCCGTCGTGGGTGTTAGTCACAGCTTTGCCATCACCTACTGCCACGCGTCTAAGGCAGTCACTTCCCCTCTCTGGAAAAGCAGAGGCGGACTAGTTGATTCTCAGTTTCCAGCTGTAATATCCTAGGAGCTGACTCTGTGACTTGAGATGTTGAGCCCTGTGGCAGCTCAAGACTAGAGTGCATCAGAGGCAAGGACTGGCGCCAGGCAATGTGGGGAGAAATAAATCCTAGTACTGACTGCCCTGAGGAGGACAGGTAGGGGGATTGAGGGGCAGGTGATTTGCACTGGTTTACTTTTAACACAGTGGCTGCAACTATGGGTTCAAGCCTAACAAGGCCTGTGAGGACGGTGCAGGACCGGCAGGGTTTCGTTCTGTTGTACCATAGGATCACCGTGAGTCCGAACCGACTCGACGGCACCTAACAACGACTTTTAACCCGCTGCTGTTCGGCTTCCGCCCCAGGCACCGTTTACTCCATTGAAACTGCCCTCATTGGGGTCGTCAATAACTCATTATCAACCACCTGAGCCCCAAGCCAGAAATCTGGACACCATCCTTGAATCTTTCCCTTTTCTCTCTTATTCCTTTTATCCCCCATCCCTTATTTCCTATCCCTTATCCCCTTCTCATTCCGAAGTATTTCTTGACTCTACCCTCCTTTTTCCCCCATACATAACATCAGCCCCTGGACTTTTTTAGGGGGTAGGTGGGGTTAGGTCTGGACTATTTCAGTAGCCCAGCCCTGTTCCCCCCTCCAGCGCATCCTCCACCATGCTGTTGCTGAGAGGCCGAGAAATCAGATCAGCAAAGAGCCTATTACAAGGCCTGGCATGGGGCAGGCAGTGGATAAATGGTGGCACTAATGTAATTACTCTCTTCTTGGAAATATATTTCACGGCCTTCTTCTGAATCTGTCCACATGGACGTCACTACACATTAACTGAAATGCTTTTCTTAAAAATAGCTGGAGATGATTAGCTAAAGGGATCGTAATAGGAATTTTAAGCCATCATTTAAATTAATTCCTGAGAAGTCTATGCCGAACCCTTCATGCTCAGTGCTTTCTGGCAGAAACTTGCCAGTTCCCATAAGCATATGCAAATCAGCTCTCTGAATTTCCCATATTCCCCTGCCAGGTTTTATTTTTTTCACTTTCTAGAGGAACAAACTGCAGCTCTGTTATCACAAGCATCTCGAGAGCTCCTTGCTGGCAGGGAGGGGCCCTGGCGTCTTTGTGTTCCCACCCCCGTTCTGCCCCACAACGTACAGTGCCAGGTAGATAGCGGGCAGCCAAACCATGCACCAATGAATACTCTGTTTTAAAAGTTTAACTATTAAGGCTGGGCCACACTCATAGTGAAAGTATTCTCTGCAGAAACTTCCCAAAGACCTTTTTGGCCAAAAGAATTCTTTTAAATTGTTGAAAGATGCCTAAAAATGGATCTCCTTTGCCCTGGAGTAAAGCATTACTGAAAACTGAATACCTATCCTTTAGAGGATGCTGTTCTAAGAAAATAACCCTGCTCCTTCGGGAAAGAAACACAGAGAAACCCCCTGGCCTACCTTCTTGAAGTCACGGTCATTAATTTTTCCATTAGGCTCCTTGCTGAGGTCAAGAAATTGTTTTCGGAATGCTGGGTCATGCTGCTGTATACAGTTTTTGAGTTTTTCAACAACTTCTTCTTTGGTTAGATTCTTGGTCACGGGGACTTTATCTTCAGAGGGTTTGATTCTAAAATCGCAAGCAAGCATTTTGGTCCCGAGTCAGCTTACACATGCCTAGCGCTTCCTCTAGACCTCGTCCATTTTCCACTGAACACCACAAGGAGGCTTACCATTCCCGTTTCGCAGAGAGGAAGCAGATGCTCAGAAAGACTGAGGGACAGAGTGACTTAGGGACGTCTTATGCTCCCATGCCTCGTTAGTCACAGAGCCGGAGTGAGGTCAGGACCACTCTGTCCAAGTAAAACCTCCTCCTGTTCGGCCAGTATATGGTGGCAAGGTGGGGGTTGGGGGGAAATGGCGGCAAGGGGGGGGAGAAATGGCGGCAAGGGCGGGGACAAGTGGTGGCAAAGTGGCGGAGAAGAAATGGCAGCAGGGTTGAGGGGTAGGGAGGTAGGCGGAGATGTGCTTTGAGCTGGATGAATATGGCTTGTGACTGGGCAGACAGGTTTGAAAAGGAATATTTTTGTGCACTGGGAAAATTTAAAGTCAGTATCCATTATTAAGCTTTAAATTAATGGGTCATTGTGCAGTAACTGGTGGCTCAGGGGTTCAGTGCTCGGCTGCTAACCTACAGGTTGGCAGTTTGAACCCACCAGCTGCTTCCTGAGAGAAAGATGTGGCAGTCTGCTTCCCTAGAGATCACAGCCTTGGAAACCCTACAGGGCAGTTCTACTCTGTCCTACAGGGTCGCTAGGACCTGGAATCGACTCCACGACAACGGGTTTAATTTTTTTTTAGTTTAGGTCAAGAGAGTCATCAAATCTCCACGCAAATGAAGGGAAGCCCACAATTATTCCAAGTTGATTTACAGGGTCAACTTGATTTATAAAACTGAAATGTGATATGATGTACTGTGTGTCTGTTCAGAGGGTAATTACTTCCTCAGCTCTTTGGCCCCATTTTTTACAGAAGACCAAACTGGCCATCAGAAACTCAGGGAGAGAGGGCTTCTGCTCTTCCTGCTGCTTCTCTCCCTATTAAGAGCCGCCAGGAAGGCCTAACCTGTTTTATGAAACGCTTAATCGCCACTCCATCTTTCACTGGTTTTAGGAGGCAGCATATCTTACCACAGGATATTTAACCTTTCTCTTAAAAGACCATCTTTCTGCCCATTAATAAAGCAGCTACTACTGAAATGCCCAGATATTCAAATTTCGTTAGCATATCATTAAAATATTCCCATCACTCTACACTTCAGAACTTTTTAAGAGGGATGTGACAAAGTGAAATCTGCTGAATAGTTCTACATTTTACACATCTTCATGGATTTATTATAAGCTATCAACAAGCAAGTTACAGTAATATCTTTTCATTAGACTAAACCTGTATTTTTCAAAAGGAATAAGAGCTAGAATATTCATTAGCCTGATTTTTTTTAAAGATCTACTAAGTATGTTTTATTGTTACAATTTAATTTGGCAATCATTTTAATAAGACTATCACCCACATTAGAAAATGGGAACCAGTTTAATGGCTGTATTTTGTAATAAATATTAAAAGGTGGTAAGAAATCTAAGTTTCTGGAAAAGAATAAACGGGAATGCAGCAGGTATGTAATAGATCAGTCACCAACAGATTCTCTGGAAGTCAAGACTCCTGGAGTCTCGGCCCAGGCCTCACACTCAGTTAATGAACAAGCTTAGGTAAGTCCCTGATCTCTCAGACCTCAGCACTTTCATTTCCAAAATTAATAGGTGGATTCAATAAATCCTAAGATCTCTTCGTGATCTAAAATTCCATGAGTCTAATCACTATATTTACAGTGTGCCATCCTTCTCATTTAAATGATAAATATTAAAATACTCATTTAGTCAACATATATTTACTAAATACCTATTCCACGATAAAAACCCGACCAAACCGGTTGTCATCGAGTTGATTCCAACTCATAGCGCCCCTGGAGGAGAGAGGAGAACTGCCCCAAAGGGTTTCCAAGGAGCGCCTGGTGGATTCGAACTGCCGACCTTTTGGTTAGCAACTGAACTCTTAACCACTATGCCACCAAGGTTTCCTTGTTCCATGATAGACACTGTGATTTCAATACGTGCTTTCATTTTGGTTCTTTTTACCTCTCGGAAACATCTGGCCACCGCTGTTCCTCTTTTTGAATGTGCTCAATTAAGGGTTGATCCGTTGGAACGAGATTTGGAGAGGCAGTGGGTAAGCCATTAATTCCTATGCTTGCCAAAAGTTTCTTGTAAACGATTCTCCCAGAAGCAACATCTTGAAACTTACTGCAGAGTCTGAATTTTTAAAATAATGAAAACATACTCATTAGAACGGCGAAAATTAACAAGCCTTGACCTCACCAGGAGTTGGTGAGGATGTGAGCAACTACAGCTCTTGTCCACTGCTGGCGGGGATGTAAAATGGTACAATCACTGTGGAAGACAGTGTGGCACTGAATATACACTTCCCAGAGGAACAGCCACTCAACTCCCAGCTATTTACCCAAGTAAGTGAAAATGTACATCTACACAAAGTCTTGCATAAGTATAGTTTTATTCGTAATAGTCAAAAACTGGAAACAAGCCAAGTAACCATCCGCAGATGAACAGCTACACAAACTGTGGTAAACCCATACATGGAATACCACTCGGCCATGAAAAAAGAAGAAACTCTGATATACATAAGGACACGGATTAACCTCAAAACCATTACGCCAGACCAGAAAAGGGAACATCTTACATGCTTCCCTTTCTATAAAATCCTCAAAAATGCAAAGCAATCTATAGTGACAGAAAGTAGATCAGTGATTGCTTGAGGATGGGGTGGAGGGAGAGATGGATTACAGAAGCAGAAAAGGCAACTTTCAGAGGGGATGGAAATGTCTGCTATCTTCTGATGGTTTCATGGGTGTAAATACATGATGAATTTCATCAAATTATATAATTTAAATGTGTGAAGCTTACTGTATGCAAATTACACCTCAATGAAGATGTAACACATTAAAAAATACTTTTATTAATAAATTAGAAATTCTGGTATGGAATTGTGGAGATATTTACACTGAAACTTGAGCCTGTGTAAACGTTTTAGAAAAACATGGTTACCACTGGTACACCAACAGTCAGCCCAGTCTTGAAGAAAGACTAGGAGTTATTTCTTTTCCTGTTTAACATTTTGTTTGTTGATATGTTTTTAATTATAAAAGTTGTATGTGCTAAACTGTACAAGGAAAGGTCATGGAAGCCCCACAGACACATCCAAACTCCCTGAGGGACTGAATTGCTGGGCGGAGGGCTGTGGGGACCATGGTCTCGGGGAACATCTAGCTCAATTGTCATGACACAGTTTATAAAGACAATGCTCTACATTCTACCTTGGTGAGTAGTGTCTGGGGTCTTAAAAGCCTGTGAGCGGCCATCTAAGATACACCACTGGTCTCATCCCTTCGGGAGCAAGGGAGAACGAAGAGAACAGGATACAAGGAAAAGATTAGTCCAAAGGACTAACTGTCCACAGCTACCAAGGCCTCCCCCAGACTGAGTCTAGTACAGCTAGATGGTGCCCAGCTACCACCACTGACTGCTCTGACCGGGATCACAACAGAGGGTTCTGGACAGAGCTGGAGAAGAATGTACAGCATAATTCTAACTCACAAAAAAAAGACCAGATTTACTGGCCTAAAGGAGACTGGAAAAACCTCAAGAGTATGGCTCCCAGACACCCTTTTAGCTCAGTGGTGAAGTTACCTCTGAGGTTCACTGTTCAGTCTGGGAGTGGACAGCCCCGTAAAACCAAATGAGACTAACAAGGTACAGTAGTCCAGTGACAAGGCCAGTAGGCAGAAGGGGACGAGGAAGCTGGTGATAGGGAACCCAAGGTTGAGTAAGGATATTGTTGATGTGTTGTGAGATTGTTAACCATTGTCATAGGGCAGCATTTGTAGTAACTGTTAAATGAGAAACTATTTTGTTCTGTAAGCCTTCATCTTAAGTGAAAATAACAGCACAATTGGAAGAGCATAGTCAATGTCACTGAACTGTGTATGTAGAAATTTTTGAAACGGTGTATCTTTGGCTATGTGTATTTTCACCAAAAAAAAAAAAAAAAAGGTTGAGAATTTAGAGGGTTAATATGTTGTGGGGTTGTTAACCAATGTCATAAAACAACATGTGTACTACTGTTTCATGAGAAACTATTTGTTCTGTAAGCCTTCACCTGAAGTACAATAAAATAAAAAAAAATAAAAATAAAAAGTTGTATGTGCTAATGATAACAAACTTGGTAAACAGAAGTGCCTGAGAACCAAAACAAAAATTCACATATTCATTAAAATTCACAAGGCAAGAGAGTAGCTGTGGATCTGGCCCTGGTGTCGGCCTGCTGGGTTTGAGTGACAGCTCCAGGATTTCATGATCATATCACTGAAGCAGCCACCCCAAGGGGTGCCCTGAGGCCACTTCCAGAGCATCAGTGAGGTCAGAACTGTTTCATATCAGTATTAGGATGTTCCTTGCCTTTTGGAGTCCCCATGTGGCACAAATGGTTAAGTACTCGGCTACTAACAGAAAGGTTGGCAGTTCTAACCCATCCAGAGGGACATCAGAAGAAAAGCCTGGCCGTCTGCTTCTGAAAAATCAGTCACTGAAAACGCTGTGGAGCACAGTTCTACTCTGACACACACGGGGTCGCCAGGAGTTGGAACAGACTAGAAGGCAATCGGTACTGGTATTCACCTTTCCTACTCTCATTCTCTCACCTGCGTCCAGTGGAGTTTTCCAGAGGCTACATGGTGTGTGATGACATCATTGCTCTGACAGACAAGGGAATGTGTGCTTGTGTATTCTAGAATTTTCTAAGGTGTCAGTTTAGGGTATAAATAGGTGGGTTATCAGAGATTAATTCCGTTTCTTCATAGCACTTCTGCTGGGCTCTTGACCTCAGCTATGCATGCTATAATATTTGTAACCTCATTGTTACTGTTGTGCGCTGTCGAGGTGATACTGACTCATAGTGACCCCACAGGACAGAGCAGAACTGCCCCACAAGGTTTTCCAGCCTGTGATGTTTATGGGAGCAGATCACCAGGTCTTTTCTCCTGCGGAGTGGCTGGGGGGTTTGAACCACTAACCTTTTGGTTAGCAGCCGAGTGCTTAACCATTGTGCCACCAAGACTCCTTTAAAGTGCTTTAGGACTGGTTTGAACATGATCAGATTTGCAGTTGAGACAGATAAAGTCTGGCTGCATCAAGGAAAGTGGATTGGAGAGGCTTCAATCTCAAATACGCAGTGGCCCGCATGCCTCTTCCATTTGATTTTGTTCATTCATCCACTCAACACCTATGAAGCCCTAAGTGTGATCCAGGCACCGGAGCTTCAGAGGTGAAAAGACCAAGTCCTTTGCCTTTACATCCTTGGTAGGGTGACAGATAATAAACATAAACAATAAACGATAAGAGCCATGACAAAGGAAGTTGGGGACAGGGTAGAACAGGACGTGAAGGCCTGGCTGGGGCGGGGTGGAGAGAGTGACCAGTCACTCTAGCAGGCATTGAGTCACGAGTGTCAATACCCTGTTGATATGTCCAAAATGGATCTTCTGGGTTTCACTCCTAAAACTGTTCCTCCCCAGTCTCCCGTCACAGATGGCAACCCTGAACACCCAGTCTCTCAAGCCAGAAGCCATCTCAATTCCATTTCATCCTTCTCACCCTAGTCCAACTCAAGCCACTGGCAAGTCCAGCCATTTCTACTCCAAGGCATATCTTGAATCTCCAAGTGTTTCCATGATATATTTATTCCTAGTAGAACTATCCACCACTCACCTCTCAGTTTGTCATACTGTGGTGGCTGGTGTCACCTCCTACTATTCTTCCTTTTCATGGATGAGGAAATTGAGGCCTGGAGAAGTTAAGCATCTACTCAAAGTCACACTAGTGAATAGCGGAGCTTGGATCCCAGCCTGCGTCTGTGACTCCAAAACCTATGCTCTACGTCTTTATTCCATCTTGCCTCCCCCAGTATCTGCCTCTGGTTGTTGTTAGTTGCTGTTCAGTCTACCCTGGCTCATGGTGACCTCATGTACACCAGAATGAAATGGTGCCTGGTACTGCACCATCTTCATGATCACTGGTATGTGTGGGCCCAGTGTTGTGGCTATTGTCAGTCCACCTTACTGAGGGCTTCAGCACTTAACCATTTAAACCCGGGGACTTGGAAGCGACACAACAGCAACTAACAAGAACAACAACATATTATATGGCTGTAGTAAGAACTAAATCATATAATGTACGTGGAGCTCTTAACCAATGCCCAGCACTTACTAAGTACTCAATAAACGGTGGCTATTATCAATATTCTCTATTAATATTAAGAAATGTCTAAGAATAGGTTTAGAATTATAAAACATACTGGATGAAAGATATGAGCAGGAATTAATTTTATTACCAAAAAACTTACTTTATTAAATGTTCACCTGTTAAAAATGGGCAGAATATGCACATAATTTTCTTGAAATTAATTCGACTAATGAAGCCAGTGTCTCCCGGGTCATAGGACCGCAGCATGTTATAAAAAGCTTGTAGATTCCTAGCAATCCCATCGTGAACAGTTTCTTCCACCTACCATAAAAATATAAACATCTTTATGGAGCTGTACGTTTGCAATTGGATGTGGTAGCATTTTTATAGAACCAAACCAACCAAACTCGTTGCCGTCGAGCTAATGACGACTCACAGGGACCCTATAGGATAGAGTAGAACTGCCCCATAGGGTCTCCAAGGCTGTAATCTTTATGGAAGCAGACTGCCACATCTTTCTCCCATGGAGCAGCTAGTGTGTTCAAACTGCTGACCTTTCTTTTGGTTAGCAGCTAAGTGATTTAATCACTGTACCACCAGGGCTCCCTTTTCTTATAGAAAGGCACCCCAAAAGAGAAGGAAAGCATTACTTACTGAATCCCAAGCCAGAAGGAGAGGTGTCTTAGTGCCTGTACAAGGGGATCTTTTTCTTATCTAATTGGGAAAAATAAAGTTTATTAATTAAAAAAACTCCTGAAAAGAATCACATGATCATCTCAATTGATGCAGAAAAGCCATCCGACAAAGTCCAACACCCATTACTAATAAAAATTCTCAATAAAATAGATATAGAAGGGAAATTTCTCAACATAATAAAGGGCATCTATGCAAAACCAATGGCCA